TTGATTTATTTTAGTTAGTTCTACCTTACAACCTTGACAATAATTTTTCATCCTTTCTTCTCATTCTTTTTCAAAGGTTTCTTGGGCGGCTTTTTCCGCCGGATAGCATTTAGGACAATAAGAATGACTAGAAAGAGCAGTTTCTAAAAGAGTAAGTTCTCATTTAGGGAATTTATCATAACATTTAGCACAGTAATCTCCGTGGTAATAGTTAGTAAAGCATTTTTGTGAGCAGAATTTATTATCGTCTTTTTTAGTTTTATGGGTGTAGTAAGTTTGATTAGTAATTTCTAGATGACATTCGGAGCAGTAGAGGGGTTCTTGTTGTTCTTGGATTGGTTGAGTGAATTGCTTTGTTTGGTTAGATTTGCTCTCTCTCTCTCTCTCTCTCTGTTTTTAAATATAAATAAGCTTCTAAACATTTTTCTAATAATTCCGCCATGTAAATTCCTTCGCTAAAAGCAATTTCGCGAATTTGTTGGTCAAATTCTGGACTTACCTTAGTGGCGAATTGTAAAATTCGATTGCTCCGATAAGGACGACTGACCATAACTTGGTTTCACGCTTGTTTTTGTTTTAATTCTTGGTTAACATCCAAATTTTTCTTTCTCATAATATAAATTTTTAACTAGTTTTTTATTTTTTTAGTTATCCCAAGTCGATGTGAAGTTTTTACGCGACCCGCTAAAAATTTAGATAAATGCCTCCACCTAAACTTCTTTACACCACTGCTGAAGGCCGAAGGGTTTATCCCTTTCGCCAAAATATTAATGGTCGACAGTTAAGCGAACTTCACATTGATCCTCACTATGAAGAAGAGCATAGCGAATATATGACTGATGAAATGATTTATAAATTAGCCAAGCAGCTAGTCCAAGTAGAAAAAAGATTTATTCCCGAGGCCAGGGAAGGTGAATGAGAATATTTTTCTTTTAACCGTTTATTTCGTGGTCGAAGAGCCTACAAAATTGCTTTTTGTTTAAAGGACGGAAGTGACTTCTTGGGCATTCGAACTTGCCATCGCTATCACAAAAATGATAAAAAAGATAATAAGGGGTAAATAAATATGAATAAAGAAAATAAAAATTACAGTTATCAATATCCCAAAGGGGACAAGGAAATCTTAGCCAAAATAATGGATCCGAATTACCAGCGGGGGAATCTAGGCTTGCCGGAAAATGCTTCGCCCGAAGAAAGGTTAAAATACCGCATCGGAAAAGCAATTTTAACTTACCAACAGGACAACCGATTGACTCTAACCGAAGTAGCTCATAAGTTAAACATTAACGAAACTAAATTTTATGACCTTTGCCGAGGCCAAGTTAATGCCTTTGCTTTATCTGATCTAGTGGCTTATTTGGAAAAGCTATCTCCACAGTATGAATTAAGAATAACTAAGGCTGGTTTCATGGAAAGGAATTAATTGCTTTTTTTTCTTTAAAAATTAATTGTATGAACGAACTAAGACAAATTAGTAAAAAAGAATTTCTCTATGAGCTTAAATATCGTATCGAACAAGAAGAAATAGCCGAAGAAGAGATAATCATTCTTATGCGAAATTATTTGCTAAAAGAGGAAGAAGAATGAAAAAGAGCCTATTCTGAAGCCGCTCAGGATAAAGAACGCGAAAAAGAAGCTGAAATGTGAGAAAGGCTAGAAGAGAATGGAGAGTAAAGAACCGATTAAACGGGGAGACATTTATTGAGTAAAGTTCTGGCACTTCTGGTTCGGGTATATCAGACTCCGGAATATCTGGCTCCTGTCCGGGATCAATGTCCGGTGGCA